TTTTTTTACTACTGGTTTGCTCATGCGTGTGTATGCACAACGCTTCTGCACATGCACAGAAGCGTCCAGGCGGGTGGGTGGAGCCTCCAGTTTGCCCAATCCAAGCTGAACTGGGAGCAACTCACCTCTGCCTCAGCCTCTATGAAGAGTGATATAATTTATTTCCCATAGTAAGGAGTTGATGAAATTTCCATAATTCTTTTTTTTTTAATTATTAAGCAATTTTCTTCATTTTATATCACAATTTTCATCTTTACAACACTTCGGTATCAGTAGACCTCATATGTACATACAGGTTATTTTTAATTTTTCTTCCCTTTTTATATACATACATATTCCTTTACAACTGCTAACTAGAAGTTTGCAACATATACTAATCTACACACTGTGCGGTTGTTATAGTTATATAAATATATATATTACATTTTTGTTACATCTTATCATACTCTAACATTACATATTCTTTCATCTTTCTTTAATGATTCCTTAATCTTTGCTTCTATTCTGTAACCAGTGATGGTGAACCTTTTTGTAATCATGTGTCAAAATTGTGTGTGTACATGCAATAGCGCTCACTTGCATACCCCACACCCACAATGCAATGCAACTCGCCCCACACACGTGTGCACAACCCCTGTGCATGGGCGTGTGACCTCCCACGTGGGGGGAGAATTTTCGCCCTCCCCAGGGTTCAATAAAGCCTCCGGAGCCTGGGGTGGATGAAAAATGGGCCCAATGGGCCAACCGGAAGTTTGGAAACAATCCGTTTCCAGCTCCCAGAGGGCCTCTGGGGGAACAGTGGAGGCCATTTTTGCCCTCCCCAGGCTTTAGGATATCCTAAAGCCTGGGGAGAGGGTTTCCGAACTTCCAGTTGGCCTGTTGGGCCTGTTTTTGCCCTCCCCAGGCTCCGGAGGCTTTCCTGAAGCCTGAGGAGGGCGAAAACAGCCTCCTCTGGTGCTCCGGAAGACCGAAAATTACCTAGCCTCTGCACATATGTGCGCCGGAGCTGACAGCTCACATGCCAGCAGATATGGCTCTGTGTGCCACCTGTGGCATGCATGCTATAGGTTCATCATCACAGCCCTAACCAGTTGTACCATATATTCCAAATCAAATAATATTCAGTTTCTTCTCTATCTTTTATTTCCATTGTCAGGCTATCTATCTTGGCACATTCTACCACTTTCTTTATCACCATTATTATTTCATCAAGAGGTATACTTTCATATTTCCAATTTTGAGTGTAAACAATTCTGGCCACTGTTATTATATGTAGCATTATGTATTGGGTTTTTCATTATAATTTCCTGTTAGTATGCCTAACAAAAATAGTTCCGGTTTTAACTCTATTTATTGTTTGGTGATTTCCTCTAGCCACTTTCTTATCCAATATTTCTTTACTTCTGGGCATGTCCACCACATGTGGCAATATGTTGAGTTCCCATAATTCCTAATGCTCTCTAATTCCCTGGAGCAACTCCATGACTCCCTATGGAATCTCACCATCTATTGCAAGACTCACCAAGTCCTGTATAAAGGTGGTCCTTGACTCACAACCACAATTGAACCCAAAATTTCTGTTGCCAAGCAAGACAGTTGCTCAGTGAGTTTTGTCCCATTTTATTACTACAGTTACCTTTCTTACTACAGTTGTAAGGGAATCCCTGCCATTGTTAAATTAGTAATATGGTTCTTAAGTGAATCTGGCTTCCCCATTGACTTTGCAAGTCAAAAGATTAAAAAAGGTAATCACATGACCCTGGAAAAGTGCAACCATCATAAATACATGCCAGTTGCCAAGTGTCTGAATTTTGATCAGATGAACTGTGGGAATGCTGCAATAGTCGTAAGTGTGAAAAACAGCCATAAGTCACTTTCTCAATGGTGTTCTAACTTCCAACGGTCAGTAAAATGAATGGTTGTAAGTCAAGGATTACTTGTAGTTTTGCCGTTTTCTGGAATGCTCCTCAGCTTTCTAGTCTAGAGGAACACCTGTCGTTCCTGGAGATTTCCCATCCAAGTCTTCCCAAGGGCAGTTAATTTCCAGGCCCTAAGAAAATCAGCCAGGGACTGTCATCCACCAAGAGCTTAAGCAGGAGACAATTAGTTCTCTTAATTGGCTGGCATGGATTGCGCATGTGTGAGGAAGATGGCTGCTTGAGCTTTTCGCTCGGGTGTGAAGAACAAACAACCTGGCTGATAACCCGAGTTCTGTTGTAATTTGATGCCGGAGGAGTTAAGCCTGGAAAGAAGAACTTGAGAGGAGCAGGGAACGGTGATTATTAACGAGAAGCCTTCCCTGACAGCCCCAGACAGAGCAACTGTTTGGAGTAGCAGTGAGTGGCAGTGAGAGATTACGATCGGCTCCCCCCCCCTTCCCCCCCACAGAGACTGTGAACGACCTTTCCCCCCCCACGGAGGCACGGAGACAATACAGGCAGCTTGCAACCAAAAGAACTGCTGCGCTTTTTGTGCTTCGTTCTGAGCCCGGGGAGGTGCTGGGGAAGAAGCATACGAACGGCTGGGGAAGAAGCATACGAACGGCTCCCCCCTCTCTTCCCCTCCACAGAGACTGCGAATGGACTTCCCCCCCCCCCACGGAGGCAATACGGGCGACTTGCAGATTAACCAGGTTTGAAAAATACGGAAGGCACCTGGAGTTCCTGA